AGTACAGAACTGGTGGAAAGGGTCAGATTTAGAGCTGATTTCAAAGCTGGTGGCAATCAACATTACCAGGATACTGAAGAGCCAGGAAAAATGTTTCTGAATCCCGGAAAGCTTGATCCTCAGCCACTCAAAACAGCTCTGGGTAAGAGTCTGAGGTTCGCTTAGACGACCTGAGTAGTGCAATGGATAAATGGCCTACACAAAAGTTCCACAAACAGAGGATGTGGTCGAAAGCACTTGACACCCACGCTACAGGCTTTTGCCACCCACTAAATTTTCAGCGGTTTTGGCAAATTCGGCCGTTCATAGGTCACTTGTGAACTTTGGGTAAAGATTTCGTCTGGTGCAGTACAGACTTGCAACCTGCCAGCCACCCGATGGACGTTACTGGCGTGAGCACTGTTGAAGTAAGTCTATGACCTCGAAGATATAACTCCCATGTGAACCAGCGACGGCTTTTCAGCGAATCGCTTCACAAAGTTAAAACACAAAGGGTAAGGGCAACCCTGGTGGTGCAATCGATAGCGCATTCGCCCGATGAATGGTGATGGGCGTGTTCCAGTATTGCCCAGGGTCAAGACTTTTGCGAATAATCTAGCATTCTTGGGGTAACCTTCGGAGCGCGAACTGCGCCGTTGAACAGCACTATCATAACAGAACAGCTTCACAAACGCCAGTCTTCAAACGATTTTTCATCCTCTGGAAATTGTGACCCACACAGTTGATCTCGAGTACTGAACAAAAATCCAGCTGTGGATAATTTGAGAAAAAAAACCGATGAAAGCGCAATGAAATGAGGTCAGTGACGTCAAAACAAATCAATCCGTAAATCTCAAAGGTGTTTGGACTTTTTCACGCTTTCTCCTTAATTGCTAAAGCTTACAAGGCTCTTTTCCAGTTGCAGGGCCTGAGCACAGCTAAGCAGCGGGGCTTCTAGATTTCTCCACAAAACTTGCTACCGCAGTTCCCGTGTCGTTCGCTGACTAATATAGAAGTCAAATCCTCCCCAGGACAACTGAAGCTCTTATCTACTGACCGATACTTGGTTGATTTAAAGGCATGCGGCGCGATAACATCCTAAAGACGTCTGGGACTAGTACGCCTGACAGGACAAATTTCGGCGCCCCTGAGCAGACGCTACGTGGCGCCTTAATCAAGGAATGTACCCTTATAGCGCCTCAGCAAGCAGCAACGTGCGGAATGCGGATCCCCGCCGTGCCGCCCGCCCACAAATGAACGACCGTACCTA